AATTTTAGTACGAACATTTTTGCAAAAATCATTTTCCTCTTCACAGCCGTGGCGGCACAAGTTAACGTTGGCCAAATTTTTAAATTTTTATAACTTGTTAACTTATTTAAGTATATAGCCAGAGACGGCCAATATTCGCAACTTCTGTAAAAATGCAGAATTCAATATTTGTGACACAAGTATACAGTCGCGGTTACTAAAAGACCAAAATGTGTAAAATTCTTGCATGATTTATTATTAATAAGTTAATTTTTATTTTTAATTATTAGTTATATGATTATAGAAATTTTAATTTTAAATCAAATTAAAATTAAATACTGTAACCTATGAATTTTTCTACATAGACCGTGTGCCAAACGGCAGCAAAGTTCTATTGTAAAATAAAATTTTCTTATGGTGGGAAATATTATCACTTTTGCTGTGCCAAACGAAATCTTTTTTGATTACATTAAATTTTGACAATTGTCACTAATTTCACAAGAAAATCTGCATTTATTTTAATAAAAGAAACACTTTTATAGATTTTTTTTTAATAAATTTCTACAATCACAAATGTATTACAAACTAAAATAATAAAATATTTTATTTTTTGGATTTTCAAATTATTCTTTTCATTTGTCAAAAATTTATATAGCTCTATGAGCTAGTAAAATTTTATTCACCTCATATCTATCAAAAATTTACATTTTCAAGTAAATTGTTACCGATTGGCACACACTCTCATTCATTAATAAAAAATAAATGAAAAGTAACAAGGGAGAGTCCCATATTCGACTGTGCCAAATCTCATATACCCACCATCAAACTGTATGCCGTAAAAGGACGATATGTAGCTTTTCCTTACCATTATTAATAAGGTTTTAAAAGTCACCATAAATATCGTGACCGTTTAGCAAAATATTGGTGGTCAAAGATCACTAACACTTTTTAACACGCTAATATAATTTCTATAAAGAATTAAATTTCCTATATTTTAGGTACAGACTTTTTTTGCATATCATTTGTTATTTTCTTAATATTTTTAACGTCGGTAGTTAAAAAACATTTGTTACGAAAAATTTTAAACATATAAAAATAAGTATTATTTTGCACAGCACTGTATATTATGGTGGGTCGAAAATAGGCTTTTCTCTCGGATCAACTTCTAATAGCGAAATTATGTTGTGTTTTAACGTTAATGGAAGAAAATATTATGTTGCAGTAGGATTTTGAATCTCAATTTCTTATGGCTTTTGGATAATAATAAAGTTTAGTGCTCTTTTTGTATTATTTTCACTTTTTATAAAAAAAAATTTAGAAATTCGTTATATCGAGTACATAATTAAAAAATATAAGGTACTCAATAGAAACAATTTGCCGGTTCGTTAAATCGCGAATTCGCTAAACTTAGTATTCGTTAAACCGGGAAACCAGTGTACTTAGTTTAGCGAATTCGGGATTTAATGAACGGGCAAATTGTTTCCATTAAGTACTTTATATTACGAATAAACGAGAAAATTTTGTACTCGATATAACGAATTTCTAAAAAAAAATTCTATAAAAAGAGGTGAAAATAGTATTGAGAGATCACTAAACTTCATTATTAACCAAAAGCAATAACATATTAAGATTTTATGTAAGTTCAGTACCCAATTCAATGGGTACAAAATCTACAAATACACAAAATAAAATGAAAATTGGTATGATTATCAATAAAATCAAATAGAAAATACATTTTGTTTTTACACTTTGATTTTTACATTTAGATTTGAAATAAAATGAAACTTCAATTTGAAAAAAATTTAAAGAAAAAACGTGAATTTTCATTTTGTTTCTGTTTTTATTTGAAATTTGTTTCTGTTTTTCATTTTTTTCTTTGTTTAAATAAAAATAAAACTCAAATAAAATGAAAAAATCCAATCGTTTTGAAATTTTTCAAAAAATTTTAAAAAATTATACGATTTTCAATTTTCAATCAGTATTTTCAGTCAGTTTTATTACATTTTGTATCTACGCTATAATATTTTTAATTTTATTTGAAAAATTCGACATGTCGTTTTACTGAATATTATGATGGGTAGCCGGCTTAAATAGACATACATTTTAATATAATTTTTTTATTTAAGGGAATATTATGATTATTTTACTAATAAAGTGAGAAATGGAATTGTTTGTAATAAAAATTACCGTAAAATACTTAGAATTTCACATCGATTAAAATGGGGATCAAATCCCTAATTTGTTTTTTTTTATTAGAAAAGAATTCATTTTCGAAATGAAACAACTTTACCTTCATTAAACAAAAAATATTGTTTTTTACCTAATTTTAAAATATTTCATAAAATCTTTAATTTTGGTTTGATTCTAAATTTAACAAAAAAAAACTAATTTCTATCTTTTGCACACAAAATTGTTAAAAATATTAAGAAGAATTTGTCCACATTATTGTAAATAGAAAATAATCCCAGGAAAAACTTACATTAAAAGGTAATGAGTTAAAATGATAATAAAATTTCTTTTCACTACTACTTCATTAGCATTTTAACACATTGTGACATTGGAGGCAAGTACTTCCACTTAAAGCAAATAAGAATAAAAAAATATAAACTTTAGAATATTTTATCTATGCGGCATTTGCCATCGACGAGTCTCGTGCATATCCGTGCAAAATAAGATTTCTCCGACAACGCTCTAAAGTCCTTAATATTTTTATTTGGTCGATTATTTTTGTAGATATAAATAAATATGAATGGGAAATAACACTTTTAAAGGAGATTCCCTACTTTTGAGACCTCAAAAACATATTTTTTTACATATTTCTCGCATCATAGAGAGATGTTATTGTTTATATTTCCTCGCTAATTTCCGGTTTAAACCTATATTTTACAGCATTTTCTATCAATTTCTTGCAGCAGCACTTATTTCAACAATTTGTCTACAGCTTTTAACTTGATCATGAAATGTTTTTATCGTTTTTCTGCTGCCTCGGCTGCAATGTTTGCCTCTGCAATTTTTGGACTTAAAATTATAATTTTTAATGAGATTGTTTTAGAATTACATATAATAAAAAGCCTTAAACTTACTATTTGGATAGATTTCAATTTGAAAATTGTCCACAAATTGTTAAATTTGTATATTTTTGCCAACTGGCTTTATTTTATATCACACCTTTTTATAGGTATACCTTAGTTTAAATTTATATTAAAATAACGAATACTGACGTGTTGATTATGATAATAATGATATTATACCTATTCATAACAGATAAATAAAAAATTTCAGATAATTTTTCTAACTCAATTCATTGTAGGAGACATTTCAACTGGAGAGAAACTTTGACAGTACTTTATTATATGGAATACCATTGTTGTTATAGGAATTACAATAACCGAGAAACTTGTAAAAAATTGTATTTTTATAAACTTTTACTCCAAATATTTTCTAACTCAATTCATTGTAGGAGACATTTCAACTGGAGAGAAACTTTGACAGTACTTTATTATATGGAATACCATTGTTGTTATAGGAATTACAATAACCGAGAAACTTGTAAAAAATTTTATTTTTATAAACTTTTACTCCAAATATTTCGCTAAGCGTAGGTATATGGGATTAAATGTTACTTTTTACCCCACCCCTTAATTAAGACCCCAACACTAAACCCTGTACCAACATTCACTTAGCTATCTAAAATTCCACAGCTTGCTCATTTTTTTTCAATAATTTTCCTGGCCTATTAAAGGATTTTTAAAAACGAGATAATCGAAAATGTAATGATCCATTTTATTATACTATAATTAAGACGTAAAACAGAAAGTTTCAAAATGTTATCTCTACTAATACTGAACATTGTATGAGGTGTACGAACCTTTAATGATTACGTTAGTAATATTATTTGTAAGCCATTACTAGACTCCTCAGTAATGCAAACAGTTTGTAGTAGTCATTGAAGAGTAAGTTGTTGTACGAACCTTTAATGATTAGGGTGGTAATATTATTTGTAATTCATTACTAGACTCCTAAGTATTGCACAGTTTATAGTAGTCATTGAAAAGTAAGTTGTTGATTAAGTACCTGCATTTGCAGTTTAACTTGAATTTAGTTTTTACTTTACCTTTGCTATCTTAATACAATTTCCCGACATACAAATTCCAATATAAACATGAAATAAACAATAGAAATTATAAAAATATTTATTAAATATGAATGCAGTCGCGACTTGCAGTCTGGGGTAGAAAAAATAGCAACATCGTTAGAACACAACTACAGCAATTACTACCATTGCTACAATAACAAATACAGCTTCTCTGCTAGTGCATAATATATAAAACAGATTTTTACCCTAATTTACCATGGGGAACATCCATACACCTATTACGACGACCACACGTTTCCTCGTCCGTCTCCTTTTCCAATAACTACTTTTACACCCAGTACGAAAACAGAACAGAACGTAATTATCGTTTCTGTTTTTACACGACGAATACACAAAAGAGCACAAAATTCTAACATGGAATCTCTGAGTAGACAAAAAAAAATAAAACCAACACAAACTCAAAAATACTTTTATATGTATGAAAAGTAAAAGAAGAGGCACACACACTCATTTGAACACTTTACTGGGGCCAATTGTGTCCTTGAACAAAATTTTTCCACCTTCTCTCATTGCAACGACGCTTTCCCATGCCCTTCATTTAAATAGTTATAGGAAAATTATGATTTTTAAACACTTTTCATAACAAAATTAGATTTTTAATTTTAAATCTTTTAGATATTTTTAATTTCTTTCTTTCGTTTCGATCTCTACGTCTGCACAAAAAGAACTTTTTCACACAATCACACACATTTTTTCGTCCGCTAGGTTCTTGAGCTCGTGGTAGACTCCAGAATTTTTTCATTCTTTTTCTTTCTAATTATAATGTAATTTTTACAATATTTTTCACACTTAATTTCATAATTTCACAACTTTCACATGAAAAAGTTTTTAAATTTTAACTAATATGTATAATTATTTGACTTACCTATGCCATTATAAGATTTTTCACAAAAATTAATGGCAGACAAAAATCAAATCAAGTACTGTAGTGTGAAAAAATTTTTTGTCTCTGCAGTAGTATTTTTCTACACTAAGCAGGGTTGCCCAGCCTTCCAGTCAGTGTTGCCGTAACAACTTGAAATTATTTGCGTGTTCTAAAATTTATATTTTTGTGTGTTTTTTTTAGTTTAAAATATAGTATTTATATATTTATAAGAAATATATTCTGTTTCAAAGTTTTTAACAATTTAGTTTCAATTGTTTAAACAAATTTACAAATTAAAATACGTAAAAATACAACTGTGTTATAAAAAAATTGCAACAATTTTTTCATGAAGACTGGAAAATTGCGCCGGCCTAAATGCGCGTTGAATCATTCCAATATAATATCAGCTGTTACAAATTAGCAGAGGCCTGCGCCGACTATATTTAACGGCGGCAGCGGCTGACGCTGAAAATCACGGCTGTAAGCCGTCTGTCCAAATTTTCAAAAGCATATTTGATATTAATATTACGTTATTAAAATATATTAATAATGGTGAAAAAGAAAAGTAAATTGTATATCTGTTTTAATATTTTAAAACAATTAAACAAATTCTCAATGCAAATTTTTATTTTGATCAAAATTTCGAATTTTATAGGTATTTGAAATAATAGAAGAAGATAAGACACTTCTTATTTTTTTAATGTCATAAATCGTTGATTTGGAACATGGAATTTTTCGGCAACATGCCTGATAGTTTTCCCTTCATCAAGACTTTGTGAAATAACAAATTTTTCCGTTAAAGTTAGTGTGTTATGTTTGCGTTTATTGTTTGCTATGAAATTAGACAAATACGCTTGCGGAAGAATGAACCAAAACTGAAGTAATGATATTGCAAAATGTAAATAAAAGTAAGAATAACAAAACATGCGTGTTAAAAAGGGGAAACCCACGGAATTTAATTTTTTTCTTGGATAAAAAATTTTTTCCGGATTGTAGAGGTAAAAATTTTAAGTTGTCCGAAATGTAGAAGCGTCCTAATTATTAGAATGACCAGACTGGCGCATGTCCGGTCTGTCGAAGTTGCACTGTATTTAACACAGGAAAATGTCAAAACGAAAAAATAATATTTATAAAATTTTCAAATTTAAACAAATATTATCAAAATTATTACGTTTCCACGACAATTGGATCTTCGCTCCGGAACGACCCGAGTCATACTCGGCCAAAGATTGTCAACCCAGCGACAGCTGTATCAGCCGAAAGTTTTTTCCCCAGGAAAGAACTATCGGCCACAGTCGAACTGTTACAACAACCAAAAATATTTATTTTTAATTAATTTAATTGAAAAAATTAAAATGAAATAATGTGGAAAATAAAAAAGTGCAGTTGTATGAAACCTGATGGAATAAACAAGTTGGCTTTTAAAATTTCGTTTTTGAAAAACCAACTAGGTTATCATACGTTTGTCCGGAGAAACCCCACCAAACGATCTATACCTTCATATAGGAAGTCGAGCACCCCTGAGGTAAAAAAAGATATTAACTCCAATAGTTGTAATAAAAATACCAATATAGCAAAGAAATTCCACATAAATAAGGAGTCAAAATCGTTTTGTCAAATTTAAGGGGATCGGTTAATAATTTAACCTATCCCCGATATAAGGTCCACCTCGGGAAATTACTACCGCTCATAACTGGCTTAAAAAATGTATAGCTATAAAATTCAACATAACAACTTTTATATGAAACAAAATTTATCTGTTGAATTTTGTAAGGGTCGGTCCACAGTTGACCCTACCTAAAATCGCAAACAAATTATGCCATCCGATTTCTACACTTCCAACTTAAAGTTCTATATATGTTTTTATCGTGCACAAGATCGTCCGATAACAGTTATATATCATTTTCTATATACTGCCATAGTAATATTTTTTGTGAAAAAAAAGTTTGTTGTTGTAGTACACACCCTAGAACGATGAAATCCTAAAAAAATGTATGCCATCCGATTTCTACACTTCCAACTTAAAGTTCTATAGAGGTTAAATCGTGCACAAGATCGTCTGATAGCAGTTATATATAATTTTCTATATACGGTTATAGTCACATTTTTTGTAAAAAAAGTTTGTTGCTGTAGTACACACCCTAGAACGATGAAATCCACAAAAAAAAATTATGCCATCCGATTTGTATATTTCCAACTTAAAGTTCTATATAGGTTTTTATCGTGCACAAGATCGTCCAATAGCAGCTATATATAAAAATTATATATACATACTTCCATAGTAACATTTTTTGTAAAAAAAAAGTTTGTTGTTGTAGTACACACCCTAGAACGATGAAATACGGAAAAAATGTATGCCATCCGATTTCTACACTTCCGACTTAAAGTTCTATATAGGTTTTTATCGTGCACAAGATCGTCCGATAGCAGTTATATATCATTTTCTATATATGACCATAGTAACATTTTTTGAATGTTTTTTATTAAAACGCATTCTGTAACGATATAAACCCAAATATATTTATATTTTATCAGATTTGTTCCTTTCCACATTTATATACATATTTTAATTGATCAAAAATATTTTTTTTAGAGTAACTCATGAAAATCAATTTTTTGTGAAACTTTTTCACGTGCATAAACACATATTGAAAATGTAAATAATGAAAACGAGTTTTTGCGTCTTTTCCACGTGCAGAAACACATATTTGTAAACAAAAATAACTCACCACACCAAAAAATGTGTATTTTGATAAAACAGCTGTTACGGTTTCTTTTATTTTTCACGAGCACACAAGTAATATGTTCCCAGCGGGAAAAAATGGTAGGACTTCGATTTTTAGGCCTTCTAAGAGACATATTTACTCATTCTAAAAGATTCGATACTCATTCCTCATTGCCTTCTCGCGGAAGATATTCCACAAGCACAAAGCTCCCCCTTCTTGTAGGATTCATGCACATTACAAGTTGCATTGCAAAACAATGCCAAACAAACAATTATTAATATTCAAACATGATTGGGTTTGCAATTATTTTTATATATTGGCTCTCTAAAATCGACACTATAAAATTTATTTTGCCCTCTTTTTTTTAAACCGCTACCTGAAAACAGAAGAATGTATTTTTTTACATTCCAAATAAAATTTAGTCTTTTGCAAAACTTTATGTTGTAAAGTTCTCGTAAAGTAGGCTTTTATAATTAAAAATACGCATGTGCCAATTTCTTATGTTTAATGTCGAATTTATTAATAATGTCTTCCCTAATAACCCATGCTTCCGCATGCTTTGTAGAATGTCTGCTTAGGTAATTATATTAAAAGTCTTAGGGCCATAATCTCAATCTCTGGTTATCGTTTTTCGGAACGATATACTGCCCGTCAGCGCAATTTTGTTTTCTCAATAAAATTTTATTATTTATACTATCGTTAAATGCTAACAGGAACTCATCATACGGTTAATAATTTATCGATACAATAAATTGACATAACTGTTACTTTTTCAGTTTTAAAAAACAAAAAATTTTTTATATCCACAAATAAAAATAAAATAATGAACAGCAGAGTTTTTGAATTAATCTCAATGGAAGAGGAATTTGAAGAGATTCAGCCTCAAGAAAATGCTGAGAGAATCTATAAAAATAGACGAAACTACCTTGAGGATATGGATGAAGATAATTTTAGAAAGAGGTTCCGAATTTCCAAGTCAACATGTAAATATATCCTTAGCAGGATTAGCAAACAATTTTATCTAAAACGGAAAGGTGAGAAATAGCATAATTCAGTGATAATGTGGTTAATCTTTTTTTTTAAGAAATTTTGCATTATCACCAGAAACCAAACTTTTGTTAGCTCTGCGTTTTTACGCTAGTGGTAGTTTTTTAATAACTGTGGCCGATTTTTGTGGACTGAGTATATCATCAGCAGGTCGAGCAGTTAAAGATGTTTCACGAGCAATTGCTTCACTATCTAGCGAATTTATTAAATGCAAAAAAATATTAATGAGTTTTATAAAACTGCAAAATTTCCGAAAGTAATTGGTGCGATCGATTGTACTCACGTGCGCATACAATCTCCTGGTGGTGATAATGCAGAACTTTTTCGAAATCGAAAAGGATATTTTTCCATTAACGTTCAGGCTGTGTGCAACAATGAACTTATTTTTCAAGATATTGTAGTAAGGTGGCCCGGATCTTTCCATGATAGCACAATATTTAATAACAGCCGTTTAAAATTTAGACTTGAGAATAAAGAATTTAAAAACACCTATACTTTGGGTGATAGTGGTTACAAGGTATGTGACTATATGATGACCACTGCTTAACCCTATAACAAATTGTGAAAAGTTGTATAACGAGTCAGAAATAAGAACTCGTAACGTTATTGAAAGATGTTTTGGAGTATGGAAACGTCGATTTCCAGTTTTATCAATGAGGATGCGAATAGCTGTTAACACTGCAATGACTGTTATCGTTGCCTGTGCGGTGCTTCACAATATAAGTACTCAACGAAAAGAACCCCTTCCTCTTGAAGAACATCCCGACATTAGTAATGAAATTATTGAAAATGATAACGAAGTTCATGAAAATGCAAATAATAGAAATTCAAATGCCAGAACCGTTTTAATAAACAGTTATTTTGCAAGGTAGTAGTATTTTTTTGAGATATTTTGGTCTAATAAAACTTATATTACAAATTTTATTTCAGTTTATAAATCATTTATTGCGAATATTTAATTAACAAATTCACAATGTAAATAAAAATATACAAATGATCAGATGCGTTGTTTTTTCTCTTTTATTTCATTTTGGATAAGTTCATTTTTTAATCGTATTGATGTAATTTCGTTTTGATATTTTTCCATTTCGAGCTTGTGCTTTTCAGCAGCTCTGGCATTTTCATTCCTATAAAAATCCTGCTGTATCTTTATTAGTTTTATTTTTTCATCTTCTAATTTGGTTTTTCGTTGATTAAACTTTTTTGTATTAAGTTTACTTGAAACTTTTTCCTTTAATATTGTAGGGTTCCATTTAGACGATGATGGATACATTTCTTTATCCACCTCCTCGTCGATCTCTATTAAATTTACGAAATCCTAAAAATAATTTAATATTAGCATTGTTAAACTGTAAAATCTTTTATTTTACCTCTTGAATGAAATCATTAATATCATCAGTTTTAGATTGTAATTCTTGTATGGAATCATTAACATCTTCAGTTTTTGATTTAAGTTCAGTATTTAATCCTAAAATTTAATTGAAAACAATTAGAATCGCTTACGTAGCTTACATAAAAAAGAGGCGACAAAACTGACTATAGAATATAATATAGAATATAATATAGACTAGACTATAGACTAGACTATAGATTAGACTAGACTATAGAATATAATATAGACTAGACTATAGACTAAGATTAGACTATAGATTAGACTATAGAATAGAATATAGACTAGACTATAGACTAGACTATAGACTAGACTATAGACTAGACTATAGACTAGACTATAGACTAGACTATAGACTAGACTATAGACTAGACTAAAGACTAGACTATAGACTAGACTATAGACTAGACTGTAGACTAGACTATAGACTAGACTATAGACTAGACTATAGACTAGACTATAGATTAGACTAGTCTATAGATTAGACTATAGACTAGACTATAGACTAGACTATAAACTAGACTATAGACTAGACTATAGACTAGACTAGACTAGACTATAGACTAGACTATAGACTAGACTATAGACTAGACTATAGACTAGACTATAGACTAGACTATAGACTAGACTATAGACTAGACTATAGACTAGACTATAGACTAGACTATAGACTAGACTATAGACTAGACTATAGACTAGACTATAGACTAGACTATAGACTAGACTATAGACTAGACTATAGACTAGACTGCAGACTAGATTATAGACTAGATTATACACAACTATACTATGGACAAATTTATGTATTAGTCTATTGATTATTTGTCAAAAGATTACAAGTTAGATTAAGTGCTGAAAAGTACTGAAATATAGTACTGCGGTATTTTTCGAAATCATATTGTAAAGTGATGTGAGAATTGATCGCTTTTGCCACAGCCTCATACAAGGACCCATTCACAAAATGCTTTAAATGAAATAATTTACTTTAAATGTCAGTATCACATTAAAATTAGTTTGAAAGAAGTTTTACAGGAATACAAATCCATCTAGAAAATTTTATTTGGATCGGTCGATATCTGACTTTAGCTGGTTTAATTTGTCATTAAAGGAATTAAGATAAAATCACATACATATAATAATCATACCATTACCATCGTTGTCGTATGGATTACACAAGCCAGTAGCAGATTCCCCAATAAGACAAGAAATTTTTTCGGATATATTTGAAACTATGGACGTAGCAGTAGGTCCCCCGCCTGTTCGATAGGTTTCACACTTTTCGGTAGCTATTTCCACTTTAGACTTTCTTTTTAAATTTTCGTACTTGTCGCGTAGCGCTTTCCACGCTCTTTGCACCCCAGACTGACTTGCAAATTCTGAAGCAAGTTTCTCCCAAGTTTCATTTTTTTGTCTCATGTTTTCCAGTACGGATTTGTGTATCTCCACTAGGTCAACTAGCAAATATTCCTCATTCAATGAGAAATTTTTACCTTTGTCGTTTTTCATTGTTTTGTGACATTGTTCATATATTTTTAAATTAATTTCTTCTCGAAAATTATTTTTATTTTTAAATTGTAAAAACTTCAATTTTCTATAGTGTTACCTTACATAAGTGACTGTTAAAATTTAAATGTAATTTTTGTATGAGAAATTCAAAATATATAACCGACAGTATATCGCAACGAATAATTAATGCGCCGGTTAGTTAATTGGAGAAATAATCGGATATTGAGATTATGGGCCTTAGGATAAGAATTTATCAATTTTTTTATGAAAATTTGTTTTATAAAACTTTGATAAACTCCTATGAATATATCCCTAAAACTTTTATAATAATTTCCTATACAGACTTTTTACAAAGCCTTTGACTGAAGATCTTCTAATATGACTTTAACGGAAGACCATCTTATATACATTACGTTATAGGTCTTCTTATAAGCGTTCAGCGAAAGATATTCTAATAGGCCTACAACGGAAGACCGTTTAATAGGCCTTTTTAAGTAAGCCTTCTATCAGCCCTTTAATAGAAGCGAGAAGGCAAGCACTTAGCTGACAATGACACGCCGTGTAAAATTGAAATGATTTTGCAATGCAGAGGGGTGTGCTTGTGTCTGCAAAATAATGCCTTTAGTAAGGCCTCTTTACTGCCTCTTTTTCCCGCTGGGTTCTGTCAAGATTTTGTGTAGAAGAGAACGGACGGGATCGTCTAAACCAACAAACGGATCGTATTTATGTATGTATGTATCTACATATTAGGTATTCAAATGATTAACCGTCAATCGTTTAATCGATACAATTTAGGCGATTAATTGCTTGAACAAATGAAAATACAAATATAATTATAAATAATTATATGTCTAATAAATCTTTCTATAAAAAGTACTCATACATTCATTTGTAATGGCTTTTGAAAATATTCTCTGTGTATCATTTCATAAAGAGAGCAACTAAATTAAATTGTTTTTGTTTTGTGTATAGTTTGTTTTGTAGCTGAGAATATTTGTATTGCGCGTGTATAAGTGAGAATAACACAATGCCCGCAGGGGCATGTTTGGCCACCATTGCTTTGGACCTTTATTTTTATGCTCACATTTATAGGTAATCATTCTCTCAACAACGTTACCATACTTTCAAAATATTTTCATACATTTTATAAACAAAACCATGTAAATAGGCAACGAAAAATAAAAACAAAAGAAAATAAATAGAAATATGAGAGAATTTTTAGTTACTGTCGTAGCTTTATTTATGGGCCCAAAGTATAACAAGTAGTCCGACTCTCATATATAGGAAATTACTCTCTCACATCTACGAGTTCCGTGTGAATTCAACTCTCTTGTGAGAGGTTTAAACTTGTCAAAACACTCAAAAGTTTACCTTGTTTTTTTTTTTTTGACAACTTTTAAGGATCGTACGCGAAATTTCAGCTATCCACAAAAAATCTGTAATTTTTTAAAATATATTCATCGTACTTTTCACATAAAATATTGTTTAATTTTTTTAAACTGGAAAAAATATTTTTTTCTATTTATTGACATTTCAATTTTGTTGTTGTTGAATTTCAATTTACAAACAGATTTTCAATTTTTGGTATTGAAAATTCAAACAAATTTAAAATTGAAATTTTTTATAAAACTGTGTGTTCAGAATGCACCAACACATATACATTTTTGTTACCAACACATATTCAGAGTTGGGTACTTTTTTGTTTGTTTAATTTTTTAATTTAATTAATTTAATTTTTTTAAACTGGAAAAAATATTTTTTTCTATTTATTGACATTTCAATTTTGTTGTTGTTGAATTTCAATTTACAAACAGATTTTCAATTTTTGGTATTGAAAATTCAAACAAATTTAAAATTGAAATTTTTTATAAAACTGTGTGTTCAGAATGCACCAACACATTACATTTTTGTTACCAACACATATTCAGAGTTGGGTACTTTTTCACTAACACATGCTTAGAGTTAGGTACTGTTGTCAAAGAGTCGGACTACTTGTTATACTTTGTATGGGCCTATGTCGTTTTGAACACGTTTTTGTTTGAAGTTACAGTCGTGCTCTGTTTCATCATGTATTTCCTCTCAATGTGTGATGATTTCGTTACATATTGCGTTTAGACGATCCTATCCGTTCTTTTCTATACAAAATTTTGATAACATATTACTTGGGCTTTAGTGCATCACGTTTTTTGTAAGTCTACACTTCAGAATTATATGTATGTATTTATGAATGTCCCTGTCCTTACTTTTCACTTGAAAAGAAAAAATATCATGATATAAAAATGAAGAATTGTTTTTTTTACTGTCATGCAACATTCAGAAACTTTTTTTTTTTGAAAAATCACTTAGAGCGGGTTTTTGAGATGGTAATCAAATGCCAATTAATAATCAGATTAATTAATCTAAAAATAAATTTAATCTTATGTTTTGATGTTTTTGAGTACAAGATTAAACTTCGCAGTGTTGCCATACAAAACAACAGAAAATGTCACTGTTTGTTAGGGTTCTATAGTAGAAACGAAAAGTCGACTTTTCGACTTTTTGCATTTAGTTAAAAGTCGACTTTTTCCATTTTATGAAAAGTCGATTTTTCGACTTTTCGACCTTTTTCATTTATTTAAAAGTCGACTTTTAGACTTTTCGACTTTTAGTATTTTATAAATGGTCGACTATTCGACTTTTTCCGACTTTTTTCGACTATTTCCGACTTTTTTCGACTTTTCGACTTTTTTCGACTTTTCGACTTTTTTGGACTTTTCGACTTTTTTCGACTTTTTCCGACATTTTTCAACTTTTCGACTTTTTCCGACTTTTCGACTTTTTGATTTATTACGACTTTTTGACTATTTTCGACTTATTTCGACTTTTTTTCGACTATTTTTTACTTTGTTCGAGTTTTTCCGACTATTTTAGAGTTTTTGACCTCTTTTCCACTTTTTTAAAATATTCGACTATTTTCGACTTTTCGACTTTTTCCGACTTTTCGACTTTTTCCGACTTTTCGACTTTTTTCGACTTTTCGACTTTTTTCGACTTTCTTCGACTTTTTTCGACTTATCGACTTTTTTCGACTTATCGACTTTTTTCGACTTTTCGACTTTTTTCGACTTTTATTTACAAAGTCGACTTTTCGACTTTTTTCATGGACGATAGTCGAGCTATCGACTTTTTGGAACAAAATAGTCGACTTCGACTTTTCGACTTTTTTCGACAAAAAGTCGATTGTTCGATTATTCGAAAGTCGATTTATAGAACCCTACTGTTTGTTATCAAAACAATGCATATTTTACAAAAAAAAAAGAAGACAATTGTAAATTTAATATGAAAATTAATGAAAACTTGAATTAAAAACCAAAAAATGTATTTTGAAGTGTCCATAATTTATACTAATCAATAAATAGAACATTTTAATGTTTATATTTATAAAAATTTTATTAATTTCTTTGCATCAGCTGTTTACACTTTTGCATTTCGTGCTTAAGATTAAACCACCTCCATTGGGCGCTTAAACTTGCAAACAAAATTAACTAATTGAGACCTCAAAAACATCTTTCGAGGATTAATTTTAATTTAATCGCTAATATTTCACCTAAAGATTGGCCCTTAAAAGTTATTATAATTTAAGCTGACTACACACCATAATGTTAACTAAAACGACATGTCAAATTTAAATAAAATGATAAATATTATAGTGTAGATACAAAATGTAATGAGACTTACTGAAAATACGGATGGAAAATTGAAAGTCGTACGATTTATTAAAATGTTTTGAAAAATTTCAAAACAATTGGATTTTTTCATTTTATCAGAAAATAACACAGAAAATAACTGAAATAGAAACAAAAGCCAATTTAAAATTAAATTTTATCTTTTTTCTTTGATTTGTTTTGAATTGAAGTTTCATTTTATTTCAAATGTGACAGTGTAAAAACAAAAAATATTTTTTATTTGATTTTTTTGATAATCATACCAATTTACATTTTATTTTGTTTTGGCAGTATGAAATAAAAATCTAACGAGTTCTCTCATAGTGTGTAGGCAGCTTTAATAAATACTAACATTACAAATTAATTTTGTTTAATATAATTATATTCAACAACATATCGTCACCTAAAACGCCAACTTCTCTATCTAACATTTTTAAAATTTTACAGGAGAAGCAAAAGTAAGTTTTGCTCCTATCAACGCGAAATATTTGTAGTAAATAAACAATTTGTTTAATAATGAAACCTATCATTTTTATGATAGTGGACAATGGCATATATAAAAAATGTATAAATTGGACTTCAATATTTAAATGTTTTTTTTTAAAGGGCCTTTTGTTTTTTCTCAATAAAATCAATATTTTTGGTGTGGACATTTGTTTTGATGCAATACATTAGAATCGATAATAAAATCGATTTTGAATTTTTGGTTAGTTTGGGCCGTTTGCGTTTTAGGTGACGATATATTTTCGGCTATTAACGCTATGTGAAATTAACCAAATGAAATTAATGTTTTCTATATAATTCTTGGGAAATGTATATGTTCTTATATCGGCCACTTTTCGAATTATGGGCACTTGTACAAAAAAATCATGTTTCAAAACCCTTTTTTAGCTTTTGGCACTCAATGGGTTAATAATTCATATAATATCATCTGAAATGCCTTTCCATGACCTTTCATATCATATTATTTTTTGTACAATCGAGCAAGCCATTCCCGAGATTTCCATGTATCCACCCAGTATCTCAACTATGTTTCAAACATAGATTTTCCTGTATATAGTTCAATTATTGCTCATTTCTAAAAGTGTAAATTTTAGGTATTCCTACTATGTATCCACTATTATTATTTAAAATTTAAATATTTATATATTTAAAATTTTATATATTTAAATTTTAAATATATAAAATTTCCCACAAATTGTTCAATATTATGTAAGACATTAGATGTATTACTTTTCTTAAACTGCAGCCGCTTTTGAATAATATCCCAAAAATATAATGATGTTGACAGAAAAAAATGTTACTTACTTATAGCCATGGTAGAAAAATATTAGATATTTTTCTACTATGCTTATAGCAATATAATATAAAAAAATTTCGAAAGTGATATCGGGTGTTTTTTTTTTATTCACTACAGAAGTTGACATTTGTATAAAAATCGTCGTTATACTCAGGAGGTATCCTTTATCTAACAGTATTTCAAGAAGGATCGATATTTCCACCAAAACAGTGTTACAATTATCGTTATATATCTACCTTTCAATTGTATTACAAATATATCAGCCATTACCAAAACAGATTTTAATTTAAATAACGACAAGCAAATGCCAAATTTTGGGTTTTTCTCTTATATATGTACATATGTGCATGCAAACCTTAACTTTGAGCTAGAATACCTAAAAAACTATATACAATTTTTAAATAATATTTTACATTTGAATTAATAGGAATGTTTTCTATACAAAAAGTTAAAAAAATAATAAAATTTCGACTTTAAGCATTTTTGGCTACGCTCGTGACAGTGTGCGTCGCAGAATTGACAAACAGTTTGTGTGAAAAACTTGAGAGAAAAACTTGTAAGTGTAACTGCGGAGTTAATAATTTATTGTGATTGATTTATTTAAAAAGTAGAAGCATCAAGAAACAAATCCGCCTTCTGTAATCTGGAAAGTTTTTAAATTTGTTTTATTTTGTTATTTTAATTTGTAGAAATAAAATAACTATACTGAAAATGTCACAATCAATGTCCATGAAACAAATTGGAGCACGGCACATGAGCTGCGTTATAGAAATTATGGAATGGAGTAACAAAATGGACCTAGTGGCTTACGGAACTGAAAAAGGCAAGTGACAAAAATATATAGTTTTTGATAATTAAAAATAAGCAGATGAATGTGATAGAGTCAGCATTCAAAATAAAATTTATTTGAACAAATGAATTTTGCAGAACAGGCGAAATAGTAATTCAACGATTAAATTGGCAAAAAATTGTAACATTTCCATCGCCTGGAGAAGGTGTCAAGGTGAGAAGTTTAAGTTGGCAATATGATGAGACTATCATAGCTGTAGGTAAGTACACAAAATTGTAATTATTAGGCAATATGCTACATGACAAGATAATTGTAAAAGGCTACAGCAATGGACAAGTGTGTTTACTGGATGTAGAGCGCGAGGAGTCTGTTTCAAACCTAGTCTACGATGACGATATAAAAAAGGTGTACTTTAGTAAAGCCATAAATGCTCCCGACTATAGACAGCTGTATCGGAATAAAACAGAGGTGAAGAAGTTGATACATATTACAAAAAAGATTATTTTTCATATTGCGATGAATGTTTTGCTTATATAGTTGACCTATGATTTCTTTTTGCCGCCATTGCCACATTTGAGTAGTTTAGGCGTTTCATCTAAAACGGAGGAGCATAAGTCATTCGCTAAGGGCTCCCCTTGTTTTCTGGTAGTAATATTGAAATGTGGCAAAGTTCATCTATTATTGTTGGGTGCATTAAAGTCGGGAACCATTGATATGTCGCAACACGTTTCGCATCCAGATGAATTAGATGTCTATGATGTCCGCCTAAGTGGGGATTTTAATGCCATGTATGCTTTACTACGAGATGGAAATCAATTAAAAATTCTACATTTTCATAATACCGTATTGAAGGAATATATTTCACCAATGATACATTTAGCGCAGCATTGTGCTAATATATTGGAAACAAAAAAGTAAAAATAAATTGTGTAGTATTATTTTCCATTATATAAATTTGATTCCATAAATATTGTAGTTACATAGATAACACCATTCAGTGTATTTTGGAAGCTTGGGAAACGGTTTTGCTGGAAATGGATAATAAGCTAACAAGTTATGCAAATAAACAAACAGAAGGATCGCTATCAGCAGATTTTATGGAATTATTGGTTTTCGGTTATGCCACTCATGAAATAGAGGAATTTTTAATGCAGTAAGTCAATATTTTATATACAATATTCTTAAAATTCTTTATATACTACCCATACCGTATTTTCTTGTTAAAAATAATAAAATCAATGAAGAATTCATTATAAAATTAGGATATTTTTCTACCTGACTACATATCTTGCATTTAAAAATTCTGCCGTATAAGTGTTAAAAGGTTTTTATTTTATATGAGCTTTTATATTTTATTTTTTATTATTAGAGATCTTACGGAAAAAGGCGTGAAAAAGCTTCAAAATTCTGTTGATTTAAGCTACTCCACCATACAGAGCTTGGTATCAAAACCTTTACAAATGGCATCTATTAACATGTTTTATTTTCTTAACACTATCAAGGGTCTGGCCAGAATCAGTTACTATTATGAGGTATATTTAAAATAATCCTATAATAAACCTTAAAGCAGAGTAATTTTAAATACTTCTTACTTTTTCCGACAGCCTCTTATTGTTTGTGAATCTACAGAGGCAGCATTGCGTGATTGCGGTGCGTTTTTAATGAAAATTCTGGAATTGCAACAAGTAATCGATCAGTCTGTTAATGATATGAAATTGTTTTTCTGTTGGCTTTGTGTTGTCATAGTACGACTACATCAACAGGACGTCACTGAGGATATGGCGCAATTGTCCATGGAAGACACCATATATTTGGCGGAATATTTAAACAGTTTTGAGGACAGTGTAATAGAGAACGGTATGGTTATGTGAAAATTAAATAACAATTTCGTACATTTCATTTAGAAAAATATACATATTTCCAGATGACGGTACTGTTATAAAAAGAAAATTTAATTTGGAAAAAGTTGGTCAGTATTTGGAAGACAAACCTCTGCAACAAGTTGTAAAAACTGATATGCATCATCTGTGGCATAAACTTTTGGAAGAAAATGAATGTCTACGCAATTCTCCACTACTTTATCCACACGAAAAACGTTTATCTCTAACACAGCAACGCGATAAAATGTTTGCGGCCATTGATAGTGTGTTTCTAAAACCCAATGAAAGTATAAGTCTCGGTTTTGAACTCGATTCCAGTTTCGTATGTTGTTCTTTTAATGAGAATTCCGAATGTACTTTCGACTTTATTAGAACATCGTATTTCGTGAGTGAATCTAAAAAACGCGATCTAATACTTGTAACTATTGGATGGCAAGATTGTTTAGTTTTAGAATTTGATGACAAATTTACGCAGTTGAAATGCTTTCGTCTGCAAACCATCCCCGGTCCATTCACCAAAGACTTAAGTAATGGTCTTGATAATTTAAAATTTGTTGACTTGCACTTTTATAACAACGATGTTCTATCTTTGCTATTGGTTAAAGAAAGTGAAACAATGAAACATCAAAGTTATTTTATTCAATTCCCTCTGGATCAAATAACTGGTAAATGTTCATTACACGCTCTGCCACAAAATATAAATTTAAATGAATTAGCAGTTGGTCACAGTATTTTCGATATAATAGACATTACGAGCTTTAAGGCTATCGAAAGTGTCTGCACAAATTTGGCGGTATCCGGATGCAGAAAGGTAAGTTGTTATTTACATACATACATTATTTTTAAATTCGAGGAACATTTAACTTTGTTTTCTTATTAAGGTGGCTTCTATACTTTCCGAGAAGCACAAGAAAATGATTATTTTTGAAATGGAAATAGAAGATGATGAAGACGAAACGGAAATATCCCAAAATTCAATGTTGGACATAAGTAAGGAATCTGCAGTTTCGTAATAAAACGTTAGTATTTTATTAAAATCTAATTAATTTTAATAATTACAAAGGAAATTAAATGGCAATTAAACTGAGTTAAAAATACTTAAAAATAATTGATTAAATTGTAGGTTGCCCAAAAATTATTATCATACACTCTCTTTGGACACATTTACATTCATGTATATTAGGATTATAACTTTCTGCAAATATTAAAAAAGCTCCCTCACACATCGCGATAAAGTTTTGTTTAAATGTCACTTTTCCTAATGAGCAAAATTAAATTTTGCGTAAGAATTTGTAAGTTTTTTTACGTAATTTTATAGAGAGTATTTATTATTCTTTACAACAATGAATTTTCAATAATACTGCATATTTTAGACAATAAAGACTTCCTATATCGCATGATTTTTAAAATCCGAGAAACTAAAAATAATATTGAAAATGGCTTCATATAACCCGAATATAAACTAGAATTAACGCACAAGGTAAAAAACAATATATTTTATAAACCCATCATGGAATGAATGATACATTTAATTTATTGAAAAAATTTATGTCAATTATCCCTGGTCTTAATTAGTTTAATTATATTAAACATTTAATTAACTTCGTACGAGTAGGCATCATCAGAATCTTCATCTGAAGAGAAGTCCCTTCGTCTTCTTCTTTCTTTGCGTTTGTTGCGTTTCTTTCCTCCCTTTTCCGATAAATCATCTGCTAAATCCTCAGCCGTTACAGGCTTACACTCTTGCGTATGAACACTCTCAGTTTCTTGTTCAGTGTCTTGAGGGGTTTCAACATTTGTAGTTGCTTCCAAATTCGCTTCAGACTCTTCGGATTTTTTCTGTGATTTCACCAATTCACAGAGATATTTGTAACGAATCAAACACTCTTCTTTCGATTTATCTGGAACACAGTTGGCAATCTTTTGCCACCTGTCACTGCCGGCAGTTTTTCTATATTTCACAATAGCTGCTTCAAGAGCTTTTTGCTGTTCTTGGCTCCAGTTTGTTTCTGGTATTATGATATTCTTTTCTTTTCTTGTTTTCTCTTTTTTTACGATTTCCTGAGTTTCCTGTACTATATTTTCGGCCACACTTTCTGTTTGTCCGGGTATACGAAAACCGTTTTCCTTCATTTTCGCCGCCATAAATGTGACTTCCTGTACTGTACGATTCATGGTTTCAGCAATTGTTACCCATCGATTGCTTAAGCCAGCCGGATATTTTTTAACTAAACGTATGAGCTCTGCCAAATCTTCGTCTGTCCAAAAGCTTCCACTTACAGATGTCTGAAAAAGAATCGTTCGTTTTAAGGTAAATAAACAAAATATTGATGTTTACAATACCTTTTGTGTTACTGGCCTGATAGCGTCATCTTCCGTTAATTCTCTACCTTGGATTTGGGAATAACCTTTCAATTCCTCTTCAGTTTTTTCAGGCGCTTTTGTATTTTGTTTCCGTTTGCGCAAATTTTCTTTTTTCTCTTTACGCAATCTTGCCTGCTCTTCGTACTCCTTTTCCAATTCTTCTTGACGTTTCAATTCTTCTAATTCCCTACAATAAATTGATTGATCAGACTACTAGTAATAAAAATAATGAAAACATTTCCAACATACTGCCTGCGCTTCTCTAAGGCCATTTCTTTTAGCTCATTAGCTTTATTGAAACCTTCCTTAATAGTAGATGGTAGATTCCAAATGAACATAGGTATTTGTATTGGTAATGTATTCTGGATACATGAAATCAATATTTAAGTATTATCAATTTAAAAATCGTTTTTATATATTATACCTTTAACGAAGGCGACGGAATTTCACTAAGAATGGTCTCCATGTCTATATTTTTGTTCTTCTTTTGTAACTTTTTCAATTTTGAGCCAAGTACTTGTTCGGCCGTATATTTCTTCTCCAAGTATGCGGCCCAAGCAAACAAATATTGGCCAACAGTAATGATTAAGAATAGAATAGCGGCTCCCTCGTATAAACCAATCTTACGCATACGACGGTAATAGTACAAAGCAGATTTCCAGTTGGGCAAACCATCACGCAGAACTTTATCATATTTTTCTCGCTTTGATGTATCCTTTAGAACTTCGTAAATTGAAACCAAGTTTCGAAATTGAATGTTGGCATCTTCTGAGGGATTCTTGTCCGGATGCAGTTGTATCGACAGACCACGAAATGCTCGTTTGATTTCATTATTGGTGGCATTCTTTAATTAACAATAATAAAAAATAATAATAAAAGTAGTGTACCTACATAGAAATAATCGAATGCATTTATTTACTTGTGATATTCCCATAAACTCGTAAAAGTTTTTATTGATTTCTTCTACCAAATCGAAAATTTCCAATTCCTCAGTATCCCATCCATACACAACCGTGCAGGACAAGTGATAAGCGATAAAAATAATTAAAAGTAGTTTCATCTCAAATTTTTCTTAATTTAGTAATTCATTAAATAGGATACACGTTAAAATTAATTGTGCTTTTGAAGTAAAAAAGGTCTAAAGTGCCTCTTTCTGCATTTCAGATTTGACAACGTCAACGAAATGAATACAATTTTTTTTGTAGATCTTGACAACCAGCTGATTTTATAAACCGTCTGTAGGGTTTTACAAATCAACTTTCGGAGAGTCGAACAATCGACGTTTTGTAGACTTGTTCAAAAAATTGTAAAATTGACTTTGTAAATAAAGTCAAGAAAATGAAAAAACTGTAAAAAAATCGACAACAAAAAATGATAGGATACTTGTACATAATAAGAAATTATCTGTCAAAATTCTGTGTAGAAGACAACGAATGGGATCGTTTAAACGTAATATGTAATTAAACCATTACACATTGATAGAAAATACATAGGAAAATTTGACAGTCGTATGGCTCTTCTTATTTTTTAAAATTATTCAAAATACAATTAGACCAGGGATGATGTATTTTTATGTAAACACATATAAAGCTACTTTTACATTATACCACAAGTAATATAATCTGTCAATTTACTATGTAGAAGAGAACGGATGGGATAGTATAAACGCAATATGTGATGAAACCATCACACGTTGAAATGATTCAAAAAACAAGTTTGTCGCATTAGATCAAGTCGTACATAAAGTCTTAAGGTGTAAGTACACAACACGCGTTGTACGCGGCAACGCGTTATAGGCTTCTGTCAAAAAAGTTGAAATAGTGTATTTTCATTTAAAGTTACACCTGTAGTTTGTAACGCGTCTGCCGCGAATAGTTCAGGAACTTTCAACTTTTGACGCGTCGGCAGCTGTTCAGGGTTGTATTTTGATTTGTGTAGAATAAGAATAAACTAAAATGAAATAAATTTCACCAACAATAAAAGAAAAATATTAAAAAATAAACAAAAACTTAAAATTTTGATTTTTAAAGCAGTAATAGAAAGATCAAAGTGACGCGTGGTGTGTAACTTGCAGCTTGTAACTTGCAGCTTGTAAAGCGTAAAATGCGTTGCCGCCTCAATGTGTGATGTGTACTTCCACCTTTATAGCTAAAGGGCCCTTAAAAGTGAAACAGCTGTTTCCATCTTACTTTGTTATTGTGTTATACCAAATAAAATTTATAAAGTAGACTCATTTGAAGAGCTGACTATTTTTCCTAAACTTGCTTGACAAAAATGTTTATGTTGCATTTTTGTTTTCATTTCTACGCGTGCTTTTTGTAAAAATTTCTGAGGAATTTGTTGTTTTTAATATGAAAAAGTGTATTTTAAGTGTTTAATATTTTTAAAAATGTTCTAATTTTAAAAAAATATATAAAATTCTGTGATTTTTAATACAAATAACAAAATATTTTTGGAAAGTACACTAATAATTGCCATATTTTCATTTAATTATTGGTTCACAATAATAACATCATATAATTTCTTCATAATTAATAAAAATTACAAACATTTTGATAAAAAAATAATTTTAGATTTACTTTTTGTGTTGTTTATCAACAAATTTTTGTAAGCAAATTTTGACAGTTCAGTATTTCGAACAATGACAAATTACCTGTGGTTTTTGTAGACGTTTGTTGTACAACAACTCGTGTCGCTACTTTATTAATTTACTTTGTGTTATACCAATAGTGTAAACGTAAAAAATATAAATTATACAGCTCTTGTTCTCTTTTTTAAAATATGGGTGGAATTTCATTTGATTTTTCATATGTAAAGTCGTACGTAGAATATCATTGTCTGTACCCACTATTTCATGAGTTTCAAAATCAAACAAAAGCTGATTTTAGACTTTTTTAAATGTCAAAAGTGACACCTCTGTATACTTTGTGACCTAACTCTAAGAATGTATTAGTAGAATTCTAAAGCCAACATAGTTGCAAAAAATTTAAAAGTATTGAAAAAAATTATTACATTTAAATTTATAATTTAAAAGATTTCTTTAAATATTTTGCAACATAATTTATCTATAAACATTATATATGAATGTATCTTTGCTTTTTAATCTGCAATATTGAAATAATAAATAAATTATTTTAAATATTTTTGTCTTGTACCATACGAAAATTTACAACATTGTTTTTTTTTTCAGTTTTAATTTCAGCAACAAAAATTAAATGTCAAAAAAATAAAAAAATATTTTTTCGTTTGTAAAAAATTAAATCTTTTCGGGCTATTAAATATATTTAAAGTGTGCAAAAAAATAATAAAATATAAAGTTAAGTGATGAAAAATATATTCAAGTGCTATAAGCCACGAATTTTCGCGACAAAGTTTTGAAGTTTGGAGAGAGAGAGTAAGATTCTTACATATGTGTTGGAGTTACACAGAACTCGTCTGTGAGAAGAGCGTAACGTTATTGTTGTAAAAAAATGACAGCGTTTCACTTCTTAGTGTTCAGTGATAAAAAACTACCGGCTGTATTTATAAAAACTTATTTTAGGTTTATTAAACAATTTTAGGCAAAATTCAGGAAAATCGTATTTATAAACGTGAAATAGCTTAAAACACCTTCAATAAACCATTGACAATTAGAAGAATTTTATTGTAGGCTCGACCCTTCTTTAAGCCAACAATAACTTGATTTTTAACAATTTTTTTCTCAGATAAAGATTTTCCGGTAATTTTAGGTTGATTGCGAAAAGTAATTATGGTTTCTTTTAAAATAAAATCTAAAAATTCTAATTTTAACGTTTACAAATTTGTAAATAAAATCCCAGAAAATTTTTAAACGATTATATTTTGAGGAAAAAACTCAAATCTAGGCATTATTGGATTAATGCATGAATATTTGACAATATTCCAATTGTCCAGTACTATTTTTAAGCAATTTGGAAATGCCCGTCTGTCAACCAAATGATGAACAAAATCATTTGTTTTGGCTTTTTCAAAGTTTGTAATAAAGTAATTAACCATGTAAATTATATTGATTAGTGTTATACTAATGCAAAATATATTCGCCGGCATTAAAATTAGTCAAATATCAAAGAAATTTATCAATATTTGCAAAAATTACAAGGAAAATAAGTAAAAATAAGAAAATGTGTCAATGTGATGTATATTTTGTCGCAAAATATCCGTTATTCGGATACTTTTAATAATAATTAGAAATTATATGTTATATTTATACATCTGAACTAAATAGACATTTATTAAAGCCATATATATATTTATTTTTCTTAAAAGTTTGTTTTTATTGTCAAAAATCTTTTATAAACAAAAATATGAAATTAAGAAAACCGAATCAACGAATATTTTATCCTAATTGTACGCAACACTAACACATAAAATGACAGCCATATTGTACAGTGCTGCCAACTTAAACATAAATCAGCACAATAGTTAATATACGTTTATTATTTGTTTATGAATATCATAATTTTATTAATGGTTTTTAAGGCTAAAGTGTGCTTTAACTATCGAGTGCATTAAAAGCAAAATAAGATTTTTTTATAAATACAAGCGTACAACTTTAATTATTGTCTACTTGGCGTTTTTAACGCTTTACATTAGGGTTCTATAAATCGACTTTCGAATAATAGAATTGTCGAAAAGTCGAAGTCGACTATTTTGTTCCAAAAAAGTCGATAACTCGACTATCGTCTGTGAAAAAAGTCGACTTTGTTAATAAAAGTCGAAAAGTCTGAAAGGCGAAAAGTCGAAAAAAGTCGAAAAAACTCGAAAAAAAGGCGAAAAGTCGTTAAAAGTCGTAAAAGTCGGGAAAAGTCGAAAACTCGAAAATTTTAGAAAAAAGTCAAAAATAGTCGAAAATTTTAAAAAAGTGGAAAAAAAGTCAAAAACTCTAAAATAGTCGGAAAAACTCGAAAAAAGTAAAAAAATAGTCGAAAAAAAGTCGAAAGAAGTCGAAAATAGTCAAAAAGTTGAAAAAAATCGAAAAGTCGAAAAAAGTCGGAAAAAGTCGAAAAGGACTAAAAATTAAAATACTTTTTTCGTATTCTTTACCTACAATTTCTAATATTCTGGATTTTTTAACTGGAAAATGTCATAGTTATTAGCAAGGCAACGATTTTCATGCACTAAAAATATGCGCTTATAAAATGCACTATAAAATGGGAAAATATGAACCAAAAAAATGTTTCCTTGTGAAATTTATTTATTAACACTAATTTTTCTTTTATAGTATTTAAGTAAATTTGTATAAATATTTAGAACTTTAGTTTTTGACAACAAATATATAGGTTCTTGATGACAGAGTTACCGCTATATGTACTCTAATACCAATTTAACAGAATCACGATCTCGTGTCAAGTGACTCAACTCAAAAAATCGATTTGGATGAAATTTGCACCAATACTATTGGATAGTCAGACACATAGGTGAAGAACTTTATCGGTCAAGTACTGCCGGAGTTAGAGAGGATCAAAATTGGACATTTCGGTTATACAGGGTTTTTTCAAATGAGTGTAACTTTTCACCCATTGGTCCTAGGAAAAATTGTCTAAAGGAGTTTAGATAGATATTTCGTTACTGTTTAAAAATTTTTTTAAATACATTTTTTTGTATTTTTTTTTTAATTTTAAAAATATATACATAATACAAAAAACACAATTTTTGTTCGAAAAATTAAAAAATATGCTAAAAATGCTATAAAAATTTTAGAAATATGCAAAATATATGAATTTTAAAGCAAAATATGCAATTCATGCATTTATAACAAAATATGCAAAAATATGCAACAACAAATCGATGCCATTTTGTTGCAAATTCTTTGATTCGAAAAGAAAACTACTTAAAAGTTATTTTGAGTTACTGACTACAAACATGCATTTGCATACAAATCCTTGCCCTGGTTATTAGTATAACAATAATAACTAGAAACTTCTCAACTTAAAAAAATAAAAAACTTAAAAATTGCCTCGTTAATATATTCATATTATTATGGATATACAGACTTTTTGTTGTCCATATCTAAATTAAGTTTATTTGAGACTTGATTAAACATTAGATACACTCCCGCTCACTTAAATAGGTTCACTGTTTTGTTCACATTCAAATTAATTATTTGCAAAAAGTAAAGGACTAATTAGTAATTTTATAATTTTAGATAACAATATGATGTCTTTGGTATCACTAGTAAGACAAAAATTAGCGAAATGCCTAATAGCTGATTTTTAGTATTTTTTTCTAACATACTACGTTTTTTACCTAAATTTTTTTTGGTTCACTTGATTAGGTTCATTCCGAATAAAATCAGTTTAGTTCAGTTCAGTGGAAAATCTATTCATATTCTGGTGTTTGCGAATATAGACATATATTTTTTAAAAAATAGGCCGCGGTAAGCCATTGACTGAAGAATAAAATGGCAAAATTTTAGCGTTTTTGGAAACTGTCCAAAATCACAGGAATTTGGCAAAAAATTGGGCAAATTCAGAATGTTATTTGCAATTTTATAAGAAAACAGTCTGAATATTAAGAAAACATTAATAAACGTACATATGCAGTCATAACAAAAGAAGGCAGAAGAGATTTCATAAAATCTGGCTCCAAGTCAAGTGATTCTGCAGCAAAAATTGAATAAAAAGTGGTTGTTACAGCAAACCTAGCTGCAGTAAAACATATTGTAAGAAGGGCCAAGGCTTTAACAATATTAAAAAATTAATAAAAGCCTTTCCAATTGCCACTCGTAATGAAAAACCCTCTTCAGTTTGCACATATATATAAAAAGCAATATCTACATCTTGTTTTTTCGGATGAAAAAAAGTTTAATTTAGAAGGTCCAGATCGATATAATAATTATTTTTATGATTTTTGAAATTAAGAGCTCTACCTGAGTTGTCGGCAATTTCGTATTATGAAACATGTGAGCTTCAATTTCTTTCACCTAGTAGGAATTGTAATAATTGTAATGCCATACTGGAACAGCTTTTTGCACATTTTGGGATATCTTTGAACCCTTGCCGTGGATATTTCAAAAATATAATGCCCCGATCCATACCGCCAGGGCTGTAAATGGATGGATTCGATGCCAGAATGTAAAAATTTTGGAATAGCCTCCTAAAACCTTGTAAAAATATTTATAAAAATAAAAAAGTTTATTGAAAAATGCATTTTGTTGTTGTTTTTGTAAATTAAAGATGATGAACCTAAGTATTGCACTAATGTTTGTTTATCTAGTGATACATAAGACATTATGCTATTAATTAAAATTGTTATATAACCAATTAGTCCATTATTTTTTGCAAAAAATTAATTTGTATGTAAACAAAATAGTGAACCTATTTAAGTGAGCGGGAGTGTATATAAACTATTGTAAGCTTTTTGCAAACTAATCAAATAATTCATAAATTTGAGAAGTATTTCTCTTATTTTGCGTTACTGTAATTAGTGTAAATATTTAACCATTTTTTTAACTAAAAGAACTTGAATGTATGTATGTATGTATGTATGTATGTACATATGTATGTATGTATGTATGCATGCATGCATGTATGTATGTATGTATGTACATATGTATGTATGTACATATGTATGTATGTACATATGTATGTATGTACATATGTATGTATGTACATATGTATGTATGTACATATGTATGTATGTACATATGTATGTATGTCATTAGTATCGAGATGAAATTTAAAATACCTAACTAACTTTTATATAAAAATAAATTCCTCCTCCAGATTTTTTTGGGTCCTGGCCCATATTTGACCCTAACACCCATACGTATAAAGCCTCTTTTAGAAAATTAATTTTCATCAATAAATTGCATACAGCGAAATATGCTGGTGTAGGGTATAAGGTGGCGGCCATGCCAGACAATAATTCCTACTTGTTTACTATTTTAATTTGTCTGCGGCTGTTTCTAAATTCAACGGCGGCTAGGATGGGCCGGCTCTCATCATTTCGGCGCAGGTCACTGGGTGGTAGCAAAGAGTGGTGCTTTAGTCATTTTTAATGAATACGCGAAAGAAAAACTTTTTCTTTAAACTCAAGAAACATGAAAAAATGTTAATTAAAAATGTATTTTGTAAATAAATCATCGAAATTTAAAATGTGAAATTTCAATCACAAGTGTAATTATACGAAATAAAATATTTCTTAGTGCATCACAATTTTCTGTTTTAAAATGTTATATATTTGTCTAATAAAGGATGATGACATCTTGTGTTAAAAAAAGAAAAAAATAATAAGTACCTTTTTCCAATTGAAAATAATCACATATAATTACATTAAAATAACATGATGTTTTAAATCGTGTAAATTATTTACATAATAAGTTAAAATGGAAAAGGAAACAAATGTTTGCAATGAAATTTATTTTAATATAAGAAGTTTTGCATACTTTTGGGCGTCTAAATATTTCCTATACACAATTGATAGTGAGTGTGTGTGTATGTTATAAATAAAATAACAATAATTGCGAGAAAGAGAGCATGAAATAAAAAAGGTTATAAAATATGTAATTCAAAACTTTATTAACCTTTAAATGAATACTTGCAGTAACAGTTCTTCATTCCTTTAATAAAACAAAAAGCTATCAATTAAAAAATTTTTGCTTGTAAGCACGTTTATTTTACATATGCATATACTACTTAACTATATACATATGTATGTATGAACGTACGTATGAACATATGCATGGGTTTTGAAGTATATAAATTTTATATAAATAAGAGAAAGTGCAACAACAAGTAAATACAAAATAACAAAAAACAATTTAAAGAAAAGTATTTTTACAAACACTTACAAATAAATGTACATGGTCTTTTATACCTACATACAGATATAAATATTTACGTAAGTTTGTCTGTGAATGTGTAGAAGGAGAAAAATTAAAACAAAAATAACAACATGCATATAATTGCATTGTGTTCTTATTCCAAGGACATGTGCTATTGTTTTTGTTGTTGAATAAACATTATTTGTGTATGTCAGTGTCATCACTAGCATCATCTTCTTCAATTACAAGAGAAGTGGCTATGGAAACAGCAGCAGCAGTTACAAAAACGTGCAGCAATATTACACGCGTATTAAAACGATATATTTAACACAAGTAGTTTATTTAATATACACTACGACTAAGAAGTAAAAACAAAAAATTCGAAATTGCAATTAAATACATTAAGGATATTGTTTGTATCCTAGCTATACAAAAAAATGTTTTTATTCTATGCCACTCTGCTTGTAATTTTAACACAAATGTCCGAACTTGTAAGTAAAATATTAATTTTTTATCATGCATTTACACTGAAATCTGTTCATATCTGTTCATATCCATCCGTATTTTAGTAAAGAGAATAAAAGTCGTAGGTTAGGTTAGGTTGATAGGAGGATGTATACTACATCAGATCCGAAGAAATACACCTAGGCCACTATCGGGCCTGTTGTGCGCTCCAATTCATGAAAAAAAATTGTTCACTGAATGTATTATTTTTCCATGTTCAGAAACTCAGTTTCCTGGACGTAATTCCTAAGAATCTTCCAATCAGTGTTGGTTAAGAATGTTATTTCCGGAATAACATCACTTCCAAGATACTTGGATTTAACTTCGACGAATGCCTTACAGTGGTAAAGAAAGTGCTCCAGAGTTTCACTGTCCTCTCCACATGCTCTACATTCGTCTGAATCCGCACGTCCAATTTTGTATAGATGTGCACGTAATCCTGTTTGCCATGTTAACTACATCGAGCTCTCTTCCCTTTAAAGCTATTACATTCGCCCTTTCGTTGCCGATTACTCCCGAGTGGCCTGGTACCCATATGATGTAAACCTTACCTCTGGGAGAGTATTCAGTTAAAGCTTTCTTACAATCCAATACGGTCTTAGATTTATTTCTATCACCTGATATCGCCCTAATTGCCTTCTGGCTGTCGGTAAATATATTAAGCCCTGTGGGCGCGATATTTATTTTAATCCAATTTACACATTCCGTTATTGCTCGTACTTCTGCCTGGAAGCTTGTGTTATGATTAGGTAAACGGTGGTATATTTCTGTTTCTGGGTCTTCAATATAAAACCCCAGGCCCACTTTGTCCCCTAATTTAGAGCCATCCGTGTAGCAACGGATTCCTACTGGTATTTGCTCCAATGTTCCGCTTGACCAAGACATTCTATCTGGGATTAGCGTTTCAAAGTTTCCGACATATTCTGTGTCTGGTATGCGATCAGGCACGTCCGATGATTGTGTATAACCTTCCAATGTGTCCAGTATACATTGATGACGTGTCCTATAACCGCTTTTGATCAGTTCGCCTAAAGTAAAGAGCCGTTCGGCTGTAAGCGCCGCCTCATATCTTAAATATGTTTCAATGGGTGGAATATCTAGCAACGTTTCCAGAGCCTTGGTTGAAGTAGTACACATGGCACCACTTATACCCAAGTAGCATGTACGCTGAACTCCTTGTAGTAGTTTGATATTGCACTTTTTGTCTAAAGCAGTCCACCAGATTATTGAAGCATAAGCTAGAATTGGTCTAATTACGCTTTTATAAAGCCAATTTGTCATAGTAGGACTAAGACCCCATTTTATGCCTATGGTTCTCCTACATATCGCCCAGCACCGATGTGTCTTGTTGATCCTATCCTCTATGTGGTGTCTCCATTTTAATTTCCGGTCAAGTATTACACCTAAGTACTTAACTTTGTCTGTCACCGGTATCTTTTTGCCCAGGAAGCAAGGTTCAGTATATGTAGAAATTTTTGTCTTTCTTGTGAAAAGACAGATTTCCGTCTTCGCCGGGTTAACATTGAGGCCTCTCGGTTGAGCCCAGCTCAAGGCCGTATTCAGAGCCTCCTCAGCTCTTCTACACAAGTAATTTGGATCCTTTCCCTTTAAAAGTATTACGACATCGTTTGCATAGCAGACAGGTCTAAGTCCTTTCTCGGTTAGGGTCCTTAGGAGGCTATTAATCGTGGTAACCCAGAGTAAAGGTGACAAAATGCCACCCTGTGGTATACCGCGAAATACCTTTTCCCTGATAGTTATATCGTACATCTCGCAGCTTATCCATCTGTTCCTTAGCATGTAGTTGATCCAGTTACGGAGCACCCGGTCAACATAAAACTGGTCTAGGGATTGAATAACGGTATCAGTGTGCACGTTATTGAAAGCGCCGTCGATGTCAATGCATACCGCCAGTGTATACAGTTAGCTATCGAAAGATTCACCTATGTAGTGGACGACTTCGTTTAAAGTGGTTTCCACCGATCGTCCCTTTACATAAGCATGCTGCTTATATTTAAGGTCTTTGTATGGTATACTGCTTTTAACCATGCTATCGACTATCCGTTCCAAGGTTTTAAGTAGGAAGGACGTAAGACTTATCGGTCGATAGGACTTAGGTGTCGCATAGCTAGGTTTCCCTGGTTTGGGTATAAATATTACCCTTGCATCTTGCCATTTAACTGGGGTATATGCCAATTTTAAGCATGCAGTGAATATCTGTGACAGATGTACGGAAACCAGTCCCGCCTCCATCTGCAAAAGTGCCGGGAAAATGCCATCCGGCCCTGCAGCTTTATAGGGAGCAAAGCTCTTGATTACCCCTTTAACCATGTCAGATGTAATAGCTATTTCCGTGTTACCCTCCCCTTCCTCCAATATAGGTTCATCTATGTTATTCGATATACCGGGTGGGAAATGAGAGTCCATTAGGAGTTTCATTGTCTCCTCCGTATTCACAAGCCTCCTGCCCGTGTCATCGATCATAGATTCCGGTTGGATATGAGTATTGGATAGGAATTTTTTTATCTTCGATACGTCATTTACGCTATCTACCTGTTCACAAAAAAGTTTCCAGGAGTCTCGTTTGGCTTTTCGAACGATCTTCTTATATTCACCAAGTTTATTACGATACTCATCCCAGTATACTGCGGTTTTTTTACGCCGTGCCCGGTTAAATAGTTTGCGAAGAGTCTTCCCAAGGTTCCAGATCTCCCCAGTTACCCAGGGTTTTTCCTGGGCAGATCTCCGCTCTCGCAGAGGGCAGCTGTCCTCGAACGATTCAACCAGGGCACTTGTGAACGTTTCCACTTTGGCATCTATATCCTCTTTATTTCGACATTGAAAAGTGTCCTGACCTAAACGGTTCTTTAGTAAGGTCCCGAACATTGTCCAATTAGTTTTAGACTTATTCCGAAACTTTATCGGCTTTGGTGGTGGCCTTAGTATTTTGAATCTTATGTACCGATGATCAGAAAAGGAGTGCTCGTCCGAAACTCTCCAATCCTGAATTTCGTTTATAAGCTCTTCTGAACATATAGTTATATCTAATACTTCTTCTCTGATTCTATTGACGAAGGTAGCTTTATTACCTAAGTTCAATGTTATCAAGTCTTTAGTATTAAGGAAATCCATGAGGGCTTGTCCCCTGCGATTGGTGTTTGTACTACCCCAAGCTACATGGTGCGAGTTGGCATCACAACCTATTACAATTTTCTTATTTTTCCTTTGTGCCTCTTCAACCAGTTTCATCAGATCCGACGTTGGTGGTAGTGTCGGAGAATCGAAAGGCAGGTAAATAGATGCAAGGAATATGTTGCCACGACCTTGCTTCAGCACCGTTGCATCCGATGTTGATAATCCTGTTGAGAGGAGAAAACATAAGTTCTTGTGACATAAGATACATGTTCTCGGGCGAGACCCTGTATCAGCGTAGAAATGTTGGAAATTTACGTGATTTAAAGTCGTATGATTTATATTTTTTACGTTTACACTATTGGTATAACACAATAACAAAGTAAGATTGGAGCAGCTGTTTTATTATTTTGTATGTGTTTATATAAAAATAAATCCTTGAAATGAAGAGAGTCATACGACTGTCAAATTATCATACGTATTTTCGCTCAATGTGTGATGGTTTAAACGATCCAATCCACAGAATCTTGATTGGTTCTTTATTTGCATTACCAAGGCATAGATATTTAAGAAATTCTAGATCGGAGATATGATAAATAGATTTAATTCAGAGAGTCATGCTGCGTTTCATTTGAAAATGCAAAACATTTAATTGGTCATAGATATTTAAACAGACAAATAGTTAAAAAAGGTAGAGAAGTCTGACCAGCTGTATCTTATTTGTATGTTTGTGGACATTCGTCACGAATGTTTTCTTCGTAATCGACGGCGAAACTGTCGCCCTTTCACTTTACTGTGGACCAAGTAAACAAGAGATGGGGTAGTCGTCACTTTACTGTCCACCGAGTAAACAAGAAAGGGGACACTTGAAAAAAACTTAAGCAATGAAGGTGAAGAGAAAAAGGGAAAACATGACGAGTTTTGTCTGAGTGCAAAGATAATGAACACCCTGCAGTTCTACAAAGAGTCAATGCATCCGAAAAAAATTGTGATTTCCACTAACGTCTAACCATCTGGTTGGCTCTAATTCGTATTTCTTTACGGATGTACTCTTTGTAAACGAGGGTGAAGATAATCGTCACTGTAGAGTCCCCTTTGTAAGCGAGAGTGTGGACACTTCACACAACACAAAAATTTTGTTGTGTGAATTCTAAAATAGTTAACGTCTTTGTTTAAGTAAATTAAAAAATAATAAAAGTATTGAAATTTAAATAAAACCTATAAGTATAAAATTCATGAGGATCGTCAAGGCTAGTATAGAACTTGTTTTTGCAGCTTTTTGTGGAGATACGAGTATATTGAACGTAATTGTGAACTTAAGAGCCCTATTCGGCGGGTTGAGTTGTGTAGGGGCTAGGTGAAATAATGGACCAATGCTAACCATTTTCAATAGGCTTCGTCTCCGGTACCATAGAAGATAATGTGCCATATTTCATTGAATTATCTTCCTATAGTTTGATTACAAGGTTTACAAGCCCAATGCCCTTTTGCAGATCTCAATCGCTAACAAAACACCAAAAACAAGCAATTGAAAATATAATTATTCATATAAATAAATGGATATATGAAATTAACAGAACATGTTAGGTTAGGTCGAAATGGGATGTATACTACATCAAATCAGAAGAAATACACCTCTCTTTTTTACGAAAGAAAAAAATGTTCACTGAATGAATTATTTTTCAGTGTTCAGAAACTCAGTTTCCTGGACGTAATACCTAAGAATCTTCCAATCAGTGTTAGTCAGGAATGTTATTTCCGGAATAACATCAGTTCCAAGATACTTGGATCTAACTTCGACGAATGCCTGACAGTGGCAAAGAAAGTTCTCCCGAGTTCCACTGTCCTCTCCACA